CTTTTCTAAGTTTGAATAGAAAATGTCTAAGTATCGGCCTGTTTGAGGAAATCACAATAAACGAATGTTTACGATAAATGAATGTCTCTCAGTGTTTTTGAAAGCTGCATGACATCTTCGAAGAAAATCGGGAGAACCATCTGCTATTCAACCGTGCAGATATGAGTGTCAAAATTAGCATTTTGAAAAGTTTCCCGTTGACTTAAAAATCATGCCCAACTCAAAAATAAAAAATTAAACGAAGACAGCAGCCGATTTTTCAGATGCTCTCCATGAGCCCCACATTCCTAAAATCGTGCCAGGTAGCTAATAACAATCTCCGATTAACAACAGCATTCCTGGACATGAGCGCCAAATCACACCGATAATACCATTTTGTGTGCAAATAATGTGATGAAATGGCAGGTTTCATGAGGCGAATCGGCAACATGAGGCCGAATTATCGCGCCCGATATGCCGTCGTTATTAAGGTCAATGAAATTGTCGCCTCATTGTCTGCATGCACGCTCATGCTTCCGTAAACTCGCTTACGGAAGTTACGGACGTACAAACACGCGCGAGTCCTTGCTTAAAAGACGATGATCCGTTGATGTTTTGTCGGATTTTTCGTGTCTCGTCTCATCAGTTCAATTGAGCGTAGGTATTTCTGCCAAATGGAACTGTGTGCATTAAGACATGAGCCCTGCGACCCATAAGAATGTATACACAACAGGTCTCACGTCATAATGCACATAATCTTTCCGTTTGGCAGAAATACGCTCAATTAATTAGCTGGTTTACATATTTCTCTGAAAAGTACAGGAAAACAGTCTGAAACTACCTGATAAAAATTGCAGCTGGTAGATCGGAACTTGAACGGGATTTTTTAGATTTCCCACAATTTTTTTGAAAATAATTCATTAGTCGTTAGAAATTAAAATATCGCGAATCATTTTGAAAATTGTGCTTCTCTATCTCATCTGTATGAGCCCATTTGTCCACAAAATAGTCATAAACATGTAGAAAAGGTAGAGGTAAGCAAAGAACGGCACATGTTCCCTGTTCTGCTGGAGATACATAACCCTAACCAGCAGTGAGATTTAAATAAAATGCCTAACTTACAAAAATAAAAAAATAAAATATTGAAAACGACATTTAAATATACTAATCGGTGGTTAAATTTTAGGATCATCGATATAAAAATGTCATCGCGTGTTTTTACGAGTTTTTGACTAATTCTGTTTAATAAATAATTACGATACTTTTACGTTCACTCAAAACATTGCATTTTTGCAGCACTACTTCGTGTGTTACATTATTATACGTGTAAAAAATCATTCTTAAAGATCAATGAGATTTGGATGTCAAATTTTCTTATGATTTTTTTAATCCGTTAGGTAAATTCACACTAATGTTCGGCGAAAAATGGTCTACTATTTTGCACGTGTTATTTTTTTTTAATTTTTGTATTTTTTCCCACTTCTGTACATGATGAATAATAACAACCTTCACCGGTAGGGCGGGCGCAAAGCAGGTACGCACAAATACATACTTTCCATGAAATCAATGCCCGGACTTAAAATACATATAAAATCCCGAAATGACGTCAGTCATGCCGTTTAACCCGGGCTGGCGCGAAGACGACAGGGTCAACGTTTTGGAAATCATTCTCATTTCTCAAATGAAGTAATAGGATTACGGGCTTGCATTGCAGTTGCCGTCCTAAGGTAGAACGCCATATGAACATTCGAGAGTTGCCAAATTCTCCTTGATAAAACGTGTATTTTTGACAACGCTCATGCATATTTTTCCTCGACATTTTCAAATATTTTAGATTAAATTGCGTAAGCACTGAAAAAAAAATTCTCGGCGTTTTTACCAAGGTCCGTTGGTTCCTTTACCTTTTCACTTTTTTTACCAATTATTGGTAATTTTACCAAGACAGACTGGTAAGCTTCCTAAATACCGGTATTTTTACTGTTGCTTTTTCAGGTAAGAATACCACTTTTATTGGTAATCAATTCCCGGTAACTTTGCCATTTTATCTCGGTAATTCTACCACGGTCGATAAAAAATATTGGCGTTTTTACCAAGGTCCAGTAAAATTACCGAGAAAGTTCAATAATTTTACCGAGGTTTCTTGGTAAAAATACCAATTCCATAAATGATAATTTTACCAAGAAAAACCTGAGATCAAATAGAACCCTGAATTGTTGGTCTTTTTAACCTTTTCTTAGTAAATACACAAATATTTTTTTTTTAGTGCGAAATTGTCTGAAAATTTTGGAAAATAATATTCACTATTTTCTCAGTAAATTCGGTTTTTATCGGAGGAAACTTGGCAACGTCTGAGGGCTCATACGGCGTTCTTCCTTAGCACTGGGCCACTCGCGGTTTCCGAGCCAGACCTTCCCACCGATCGCGATCGGTGTAAACAACTTGGGTAACGCGACGCGACGCAGCCAGCGCTATGGATCCTTGCGTCGAGTAAATAAATCTAAATCCTTGGTTAAAAAAATAAACACGCTCGCATCGCCCGCAACTTTAATTTTTATTTACGCCGAGCCAAAATGACGAAAAAAATCCTTTACTTCGTATTTTATTTTTTCAATGTCGCGGGGTCCGAGATGAAAGCATGTTTATTCGCGACTTAATTCTGTTCCTCTGGAAGTCTTTCCAGTTTTCCCCGCATCGATTTGTGAGGGGCAGTTCAAATGAGCTAAGTGATCTGAAAAACTGAGACAATAATTGTATTTAATGTTAATTTTTTTTTTTTTTTTCAATGCTTATATTGCTCATTCTCGCCTAATGGTTCAAATGATGGAAGTTACACTGAATATTTTGGAGCGTAAAAGTCTGCTAAAAAATATTTTCGTATGATTAAAGTGGACCTCAAAGTTGACAAGATGTTGACGATCAACCCTCTAATTTTTTTATTTTTTTTTCTTTAATCTTTCATAATAAAAATGTGTAGAAACGTGTTCCTGCATCGATACTAAGCCCCAATCTTCAGAATGGCCGTTCGACATTGTGATAAAAACATGTGTCAGTACACCCTCGTGCCCCCAGGACCCCCCCCCCTGAAGCCCTTTGACCTCGCCTTATCCCGCATTCTCTCGCGTTCAGTCCGCCCCCAGCTTTAACAAATACACCGAAAAAGCTGTTGGTTTAGGTTCCAAGTTGTCTTCAGCTCGACAAAAACTGTGAAAAAAGTATTGCTGAATTCCGGGAGCCGTGTGACGGGTGTGACGTAGGTGACTCACCAGGTGGAGACGTCCCGATGATTGGTGGCTAGTGCGTAGCAGTGCGTAGAATTCTAATCGCCCAGCGTATGCACCTGAGCGCTACGCATGAACTCGGCCTACATGGGTTCGGTCGTGACACACATTATGCCCGCGTAAACAAACACATGTTTTCGCAGGTGCATCGGAGAGGGTTTGCAGTGTGCATGTGAGTCAACCAAACGAATGCAATTTCGATCTATTTTGTCACCTGTTACGTGTCAGTCAGATAATCGTGGACCGATGACAAGAACATGTGCTCCGACGGATTGACGGTCTGGTTTTCTGTTATTTTTAACTGGTTTTTCTTTACAATCGGAAGATGATTAAGATTGATTGCGATTAGTGAATATTGATCGGCAATTATATATGGTAACATTTCTTCATCATGTCGCTATTAAATCGAAAAGGATGGACTACCTGCTCCTCACTTGACATTATGTTGATTCAATTGATGATGAGAACGGACAGTTGCTCAAATGCTCACGAACTTGCAATAGATTAATAAAAAAATAAATACTGGCCGTTTTTCTTGATCAGATTTGGTACCTTAAATTTTGCGTGAATTATCGGCTATTTTTACATGCAAAAGTCCCAGAAACGATTAGATCTAATTTATGACTAACTTGCTCTTCACCGATGTCTATAATTGAAAGGGACCTAATCCGTTGATGTAGATCAATCGATGACAACTTTGTAACTTTAACCACTATTTTAAACGTGAATTGAAAACGAGCGCTTTTAAAATTCAAATCAGGTTATAAAGGTACCTCTTTCGGTATATAGCGTGACTAAAATATGTAGTCACCATGAAGGTTATATGTTAATTTTGTCTGTGAATCTCAGTTGATCTCTCAAAAGTTCTCGAGTTCATTCACAGGTGAATGCTCGGCGCGAATTTGGATCTCGGGAAAGACCAGATGAAGAAGCAATTAAGGGGTTCGCCCGCGATGTTTGGGCAATTAACGAGCTACTATCACACCTCCGAAAATTCGTTGGCCGCCGCTTTAAATGAGCCAGCTCCCGTGCGATATGAGTCACTTATTTGCCTTGCCTCTGAGATTATCGTGTTTTTGTCTATTTATAGTGCAATTGTCTAAGTACACGAGTAATTGATCACGAGAAACCAAAACATAGCTCCTGCGAAAAGCACCTATTCCTTTAACGTATAAATTTTTGAGGTGCTAAATAAAAAACACAAACGAAGGCACCTGTTCCTCTGTAAGAGCGGTGTTTTTTTGCTGAAATTACGATGCGACTTAAAATGACGTAATTTTCCTGTTTACTTATTGACTGATACAAAATACAAACCGACACGACGGTTTATTTTTTGCGTTTGATCAGAGGGTGCTTCTGCGGTGAAACACGGGAGAAAAAACTCGCAGAAAAAAGTAAATATTTTGATTGATAGAATTTTAAAACTGCGTTTCAAATACTGCATACCCGAAAAATTAATTCAGCCGTTATTTTACTTAAAAGTTTGACCAGGATTACACACATTTTGGTTGATAAATTAATTAATCCAATAATTGAATGTGGTAGCTTTTACATATTTACAAGCCGTCGTTTAAAAAGCTCTCAATGCGTTGACAAAAGCTTCTATTATTCAGCCCCAATCCACGTGTTACAATCAAAATTGGACGCATTCCTGTCAAACGGAACTAAGTGCATTATGACGTGAGCCCTGTTATGCATATATTCTTATGGGTCTCAGGGCTCATGTCTTAATGCATATAGTTCCGTTTGACAGAAATACGCCAATTAATGGGCTTATATACCATTCAAATGATGAAGGAAGCGGAATCACTACGATTTGACATTATTTATGTAAGTGCTCGTCGTTCATTTTGGAGACTACGATTCAGTCATTCACAGATCGCGCACCTTTGATAATGGAAGGTTAATCTCTTCGTTACCGTCTAATCTTATTTTTTGCACTTTAGTCATTGCTGTACGCGAAAACAATCTGTCGTCTTCGATTCTTCAAGTGTGTGACGTCTTCTTTCTCCAATTGATCTAGAAACCCATCCACTTCACTCCTCGAAACTGCGAGGGTTTGAAATTAAATAACATCTATGTTGAGGCCAAGTGTGAAATTTCATCAGGATATTATATCATACTCTATGATATAAAACCATAAGAGTAACGCATAACGCCCGGGGCGCGAAGCGCCCTGGAGGGTTGGACCGCAAAGCGGTCAAAGGGCGCGCACCCTATTTTAGCAAAATCTATGTCATATAAGATAGTGAGTAATTACAAGCAATAGTTCTGTGAAGTCGGATCATTTGTAGGTTTCAGATTATGTTACAAAGGTGACTAGATTGAACTTCAAGATACAATGAGTAGGTATCTTTGTAATTTAAGATGATGTCTAGCCATCTTTTAAAACATTCCCTGGAGCGCACCCTATATTTTCCCCCGTAAAAACTGGTATATGGGTTTAACTAAGGAAATCAAAGTTGCAAAAGGTGAATAAATTAATTTACAGTTTCCTATCGTTAAATTGCTAATAATTCTTTCGCGAATTGATTACACCGTTGCAGCGGTTTTTTTTTCCCTTTTCATTTTATCCCGATCAAACGACACTATCGGCGTGTATTTTAAGGTATCTGAGTCACTAGCTCGCAACTAGTTTGACTAATTTTCAGCGTGTCAGTTTCTTACTAAGTAAGTAGGAGTACTTGTGCAACATGAAGTTTAACAGTGTTATTTTTGTATAAACCGGTTTTAATCTGGGAGTTTCAGCGAGTTAAAGGAAAGAGATGGGGGCTGAATTACGGCGTCAATTTTTATTTAAATTAAACTTCAATCAACTACTTTGGCAATACAAATACATATTCCCATTTCTTCAGTACCTAATATAAACGAATGACTTATGTATCATTAGCTGGTTTACTTAATTCGGTTCTTATATTTGCATTTTATGGGCATTCTGTTTATCTTGTGTTTCCCCTGGATAATTGCATCATCAACCGTCTTTATAATTTAAGGTTGAGTTGGGCTCAGAAATTTAACACGGAAGAAAATGATTGCTTTTATCACACTTTGTCACAGCAATACAAAGGAGTCAACAACATTCTCAATGATAGCTTGTGCCATAATGTCGCAAAATTTACCAGACTTTTGGTGAATGCTATTGATATCCACTTATCATAAACTGAAAGTAGGTATTAGCGTGTCAAAAATTTCAAGTATAGACTAAGAGTAGAATTCATCGTACTTTTTCCCGCGTGTTCGTTCATTCTTTTTTTTGGATTTTGATTTCGTCTCAGCAGTTTTAAATAAACCTGTAAACGGTCTATGACTCTTTACCTTGCTTGGGGTTTTTGGTCCATGGCGCCGCAGCGGTGAGATACGTCAAAGACAGCAAACACAGGCACGTAACACAGCACTGCTCGAACTCGGCACACATTTTAACCGGAAAATAGACTCAGAAAACGAGCGAAAAAAGCGCGCGGAGCACGCGGTCAACACAACTTTCGCGGTTCGCTATCAGCGTCGAACTGCACTCAAGCTCCGCCGAGAAGACTAGGTATGTCTTATCAAGATGAGAAACTTTATCAGACGAACTGCTTATCGATTCGAAAACGAACTTTTACAAAAATAAAAAAACTGGGGAATGCGATACGGCGAGACGACGCTGAGCGTCTGTAGCGCGAGCGACAAGCTCTTCGTGCGAACGCTGGATTTGGTTTGAGGTTAGGGGCGGCGCGTTGGGATGTTTAAATACCCGACGCACACACTCTCACGGAGCCGGCGCGAGCCGCCTCTCGTGCCGCTCGGAAAGTTGAAGTTGAAGTGCCTGCCCAGGTTGCCGATTTGGACTCATTATTCAAATTTTAAAATCAAATTTTCAAGTGTGGGATTTCGAGAGATTTGAGGAAAGCAGTCGCGTGAAATAAGTATGCCCTCGATAACTCAACTCGGAGACAACGTAATATGTAATTTTTGATAAAAAAAATCAAAATTTTTGAAAAACTGTAAAAACTGTATTGAAACTTTTAAAACTTTTTTGAAAAACTCACGCTTTCACTAATTTGTTATTTTTCGTATACAATTTTTGATAAAATCAAATTTTCATGTGTGGTATCTCGAGAGATGCGAGGAAAGCAGTCGCGTGAAATAAGTATGCCCTCGATAACTCAACTCGGAGACAACATAATGTATAATTTTTGATAAAATAATCGAAATTTTTGAAAAACAGTAAAAGCTGTATTAAAACTTTTTTGAAAAACTCACGCTTTCATTAATTTGTTATTTTTCGTTGTACAACTTTTGATAAAATAATCAAAATTTTTGAAAAATAGTAAAAGCTGTATTAGAACTTTTTTGAAAAACTCACGCTTTCACTAATTTGTTATTTTTCGTCGAAAAATAACAAAAACCAAAATAACGAAAAATAACAAATTAGTGAAAGCGTGAGTTTTTCAAAAAAGTTTTAAAAGTTTTAACCAGGGCTGGATTAAGGGGGTGGCCACATGGGCCGCGGCCCATGGCGGCAAAATGTAGGGGGCGGCAAATTTTGCAATCTTTTTGAATGTAGGTATCAAAAAAAGAGAGAGAACAATCGTATTCAGAAAATAAATTACAAACGAGAAAAGGCGACAAAATCTCTCATTTCCTGGTAATGTTTCATAGTAATTTCTAATTTTGTCGTATTTCGGCGATACAAGAGACAACACCTTTAATTAGTCGAGTTAAGAGAGAAACCAAACACGCAATTTGACCTGGAACGGAGCGGAGCGGCCGTCGGCATGAAACGCATAGCGCCTACAAAACTGCATGAATACTTCACGCATTGCGCCAACACAGTGCGGTCAGCGCAGCGGCGGAAGTTAAAATTATTGACCACATTTATGTTTGTTCTTTCATAAGCTTTTCGTTCGTTTTTTAGAAATGGAAGGCCTTGTCCAAACAGGGGTGGGTTTACGGAACTGAACTTTTGTTGGTGTTGACAGGGCTTTCACAAAAAAATGTGCCCAACACGAGTAAACACGTCTCATACACCCCTCCCCCACGTTCACTTGATGGTTTTTATAGATCATATTCGACCAATCATACAGGTGAGATTATATTGATATCGATTGGTTCAATACGTAAACATAGCCTCAAAAGTCAATTTAGAAATCTAAGGTGACAGGTCTTTTGTGATCATTTTTTTAAAATTCTTTCGAGTATCAAATGGCAATGAAAAGTGAAATTGTTAGGAATGTTCTCATTTTCAGCTTTTCCAAATTATATCCTAAAATTTTTGTTTGAGGTTATGTTCTATTGTTTTGAATCAAACGATACATCGAACCACTGTCGAATACGATCTATTGATGTTTCAAAACGAATGAGAAGGGGGAGAAAAAATACAGGCAGCCCATGGGCGGCAAGTAGGTAAATTCGGCCCTGGTTTTAACAATAATATATCTCGACCACAAACTTTTTCAATAAAAAATACTAACATTTTTTAAAAACTCACTAGCACAATTAGCATAATTTTCATATGTTGCACGTGATATTACGTGCGAGTGAGTTTCTAAAAATCTTTAAGGAGTATTTTTTATTGATCGTTTATCTTGTGCAGGTCCCAAAAATGTTTATTGACACAAACTTTCCCTTTTACTTTTTCCATTAGAATATAGCCATACGCTGAAATCGCGTGTCTCTGTTACAATGTTTTCAACATCCTTATTCAGGATTCATCAGAGCTGTCGTATCGATGGCTGTTATCGAAAATCACGTATCTCTCGGTTACAGATTGTTCATTTTACTTCATTCCTCTACTGGGAGCACTATAATAGACTAAAATAATTAGAAATTAGGATGTTGAAATAAATTCGTTCGTATTGACTTCAAAAATGAAAAGTTTGTGCCCCCTTTACCCTCATCACCTCACACAGAGATCCGTCTAAGCGGTGAGGCGTAATACAGTTGGGTTAAAATGCGAGATACAACTATATCAACTTCTAAGTAGCCCAAATTGCATAGTCGACGAAATGAAGGAGAAAAACAAAGGTGCTGCCGCGCTACCGGAGTTCCTGGCATGGAATGATCATTAGAAACCTATTGGTCCGACATAGCCTGATGTTTCGTAGCTGGTAATGCATTTTTTCCCTGATCATCTGATGTGAGTCAAAGAAGCAACAGTGTCCAAAATGTTTCTTATAGAATTTATGATATTTTTGAAAACATTTTCACGTCATTTACTAACCTAGTAAACATTTTCTGAAAAGTAAGGAAAGGACGCTAGTTCTCTCCCACGCGAGTAAATTGTGTGCTTCAAGAATGGTTCATTGATTCTTGAAGAATGATCACTCATTCCGTCGTAAACTTCATGCAGAGCTTCATAGAAAGTTACAAAATTGTTATCAAATGGAAAGCTGTCTTGGTTGACACAAGATGGATAAAATACGCGTGCAGACGTGTCTCTCGGAAAATTATACACACTTTTATTCAGTTTATATGGAAAATTTGTTTATGCAGGAGCTACATTTCAAGGGTTGTTCTCAGCGATAAAAGCACGAGAGCTGCAGTTTGAAATGCAATATTGCGCCTTCAAATAAGAATGATACCACAAAGACACCACCCAATCGTACTCGCTCTGATAGTCTCTGATCTCTGCTTTGAATTCTTCGAGGCTCATTTTTCCCGGGTGATGATGATGCCGGTGATCGAATCGGAATATTTTTAAAAGAGATTATTCACATCGAAAATTGTATAAATATGAAATTTTGGACTCCGTAATTTTGGACTTCTGCCCTCAGATATCTCCAATCACAGATCTACTCCTCTACAATCAACAGAAATGCAAACCCACTTACATGCGATGAACCCAATGTTACTACCAAAATTCTGAAACTCTTCACCTCTCTTAATTTAAAAATCTAAATTTCCGTATATACTCCCATTTTCAAAATTCTCTGTAAAGACGTTAATAGCCTGTGACGTTGAATGTCTTAAAATATACTAACTAACTAACTTATTTATCATTCTTCCAGAGCTTAAATTTCAAAAAAAAAGTTTCCTCCTTTCTGGCAACAGTGTGCAAACGCGATCCGCGAGTCGAGTGCGTATAATCGCGCCACGGTCCCTTACCTTGCCCCTGCCCCCGCAAGGGGGTGGGGGGTATACAGGTGCCGGTACCTGGTCCTCAGCCGAGGTCCTCATTCCCGCCGGTATAAGTATCCGTACGGTGCCGGCCCCCCTCGACCCCCCCTTGTCGGTCCCCCCTCTGCGCGGGCACTGCACTGGTGAGATTATGGGCGCCCCCCCCATCTATTTCGCGACAGCCTCTTGTCCGCGCGCGGTATCTCGGCAGTCGGCGGCGGGCGTCCGCTCGGACAGTTCCGGTAGTGCTGTGATTGTTTCCGCTCTAAGTGGATCGTTTTCGATGTATCGTTATAGATCGTATTCGATACATCAAACGGTATTTCCGGTCGTGCTTACAGCTCAAAATCGAAACAATCAACGCACTTTCGGGTCGCTGTCCGCAATTTAAGATGCGCGCCCTATTGTGCGAGAATTAAAAATCAAAAAAATGTCATCGATTGATTTTAATTAAATTGATCCAAAAAATCATGCGTTTATTATAATCACTTCATCATCATTATTTTATTTTTCATGGGTTTACTGAAATACAAGTTTCGAGAGAAACTAAACGACGTCCTTTAAATGCCGGTTTATAGTGCATGAGTGCATATCGTAGACATTTCATACGTTTATTTCAATTAAATTACTTTGAATAATTTGGATGTTTACTTTGATTATTCTACCATCATTATTTTATTTTTCGTGGATTTACTGAAATACAAGTTTTGAGAGAAACTAGACGACGGCCAATAAATGCCGGTTTATAGTGCGAGAGTTCATATCGTAGACATTTCATCATAAGTTTATTTTAGTTAAATTGCTTTAGATAATTTTTATGTTTACTTTAATTAGTTTACCATCATTATTTAACTGCTCGTAAATACACTGAAGTGAGTTTTGCAAGAAACTGAACGACGGCAGGTGAATTATGTTAAGTAATCTTAAATCAGGCAAAATTTGATTTACCTAAATGTGGGACCTTAAATCTTTTAGCGGAAAGCCAACCTCGGGGTCGAAACTAAAAGCATTTATCGATGCTAAAACGATCTCTAATATTCTCAAAACATTTAGGCAAAATTTCAATACATTATTTCTTCTTTAAGTGATGTTACGAGCGTTTGAGATGAATCTTTTCACAAACGGTGGCAGTGGCAGAGCAATTCAATGCAATTAATCATTTCTGAACTTCACACTATTCCCATAATATCAATCTCTCCGGACGTCCTCACTTAGAACGATGAAAAATCAATTCCTTCAAGTTGTAAGGGGCCAGCGCCCCTAAATTACGTAACGCACTTTTCCGGCATTTTTCACCCCCATCCCCCCCCCCTTGTAACGTTCTTGTGGCGTAGGTCCTTATCCTCTAACACGTAAACACAAAATGGCATAACGCTCTCCTCAATCCCCCTCCCTTCCTACAGCGTTACATTTTAAGAAAGGTCCCTAACACGGTAATGACATTATTTTTATCACGTTAAGGAGCATTTTACCTGAACCTCATCACTTATTATTACCTGCTTGAATTCGGAAATTGGCCGCGAAAAGACCCACTTTCTAGCTGTGCTTTTTAAAAATTATGCACCTCAGATTCGAAATGATAACA